GCAGAAGCTGCCCATCCTGAGAGGCAGCCCCTCTACCCAGCTCACAGGAATGCAAGCACTCCACGATGGTAGTGGCATCGATGAAGTACCCCCCACAGAGGGCGCACATGAGGTGAGGGTTCAGCTCCGTGATTTTGATCCGTGTGGTCCGATGCATGATGCCGGGGAGGGGGCTGGGGGGCTGGGGAGCGTCACCCTGGGAAGTAAAAGTGGAATTAGCAAACCCAGAGATCCAACATCCTCTCTGAGGCCAAGGCCCTTCCTCTCGACCTTGGACTGGGTGCACGTCAGGGCCCGGTTCTTTTTGGACCCCTCTGGGTGCCGGCGGCTCTGGAGGGTCACCCCACCTCGAGCAACAAGATCAGCTCCACCTCAGGAGCAGCAGGAAATGTACTACCCAACTTTCCAAAGGACGGGGGGAGGCAGGAAAATGGAAGAGAACAGACTTTTAAAATATCCCCGTAATCCCAATTCATATTCACTCAAGGGAGTGCTAGGAGCTAGGAGGAAAACTCAAATAAGCTAGACCTCCAGGAAATAAAAGAAGAGAAAGAATAAATTGTCCCTGCCCCTTTCACCCCCTCCAGATGCTACTCCATCCTACCCTCCTTCCGTCCCGTCTGCCCCTCCTCCAGGCAGCTGGAAGTTTGAAGGGGCCCCCCCATCACTTGCCCTCTGGCTCTGCATCCAGCCCCGGCCCTAGAGCAGCAACCTGGAAGTCTACTGACCACGCCGGTTCCAGGCCTGACGCCCACGCAGGAAACACTGAGGAACACGCAGCTCCACCTGCGCCCACAAGCACACACATCCAGGACCCCCGCCCCATGCACACGCAGTGATGTCCCCACGTGGGCACTGCCACCCACCACCTCCCACCTGGTGACGCCTCCTCTGCCACCTGCCACAGGCTGGGAGGTGCCTGCCAAGCCTGGACACAGAGTTCCCTGTCCCCAGCCCACCTGAGCACCCAGCCAGGCTCTGGCAGGGTCCCGGGAGGTCAGGCAAAGCCCAGCTCTGGTTTGGCTGATGTTCTTCTTGACATAAAAGCATCAAAGCTGCACAGAGAAGGGGTGGCCCCTCCCTTCTTCCTCTTTCCCAGAGTGAAAGCCCAAGGGGTGGGGCTTGAGAGGGCGGCCAAGTCTGGACGCTCCTTTACAACACACACCCTTCTCTCCTTTCCAGAGACGTTTCTAAAGACACCGCATTGGGTTTTCTAGGAGCAGAAATTCACAGCCGGGATCAGCAGTTTCTATAGAGACCCCAGGATGAGCTTGGCCAGGACCCAAACAGCCCACAGAGGCTGGCCGGGGACCGAAAGAGATGGAGAGACACAAAGGCCACACATGGGAGAGACACCAACGAGCAGGGCAGACAGAGCGGAACAAGCAAGCGAGCCAGCCCAGAGAGCCAGCCCAGAGAGCCAGCCAGCAGGGAGGCAGCGGCTGAGACCCGCAGGCCCGGCCAGCGGAAGGCGGCTCTGGCCACACACAGAGGGTGGACGCCTTCTGCCTTCCCTGCACGGGTTCCCCCTTCACAATTAGGCAGCAGGCTTGCTGGTGACTCCACTGTTTGGTTGTTTCCATGGTAACTTCGTTCCTGGCAAGATGCCCAAATATTATTACAACCATCCAGAGGAAAGAACAAACTCCGAGTGGTCGTCTCACTGGGTGTGTGTCATTTCAGATGCATGCGTGCTGTCTGGGCCTCCAAAGGTACTTTGTATGACTACGTGTCTGTGTCCGTGTCCAAATGCACCCGTGTGCGTGCACAGCCAGGAACAAAGCGTTTGGGGCTCTGATAATGCTGGGGGGTCCAGGCTGCCATCAGTGAATGTCACGCCCCCTTCTCCTTCTCTCACATACACACGTACATGCACACAAACACGTAGCGCTTCACACTGCCCGGCCGCCTCATTCACACACTTGTGTTTTCAGACACTTACTGTTAAGAATTCCCATCTAGTGGCTGCCAAGCAGACTATGGGCTCAACACACAGGCGCTCCTGGGCACATGGCCTTACCCCTCACCCTCTCCCTCCCATGAGCATTTGTGAGCCTTCAGACTGAGTCTCCCTCACGGTCCTTTCTAGATGTGCAGGTGAAGGAGAGAGCTGTGGTGTCTATAGAGGAATGAGATGTTCCCGTGTCTCCCGTTTAAGAAATGAGCCCCCCTGTGACTCTCCTTGCTCCACCCACCCCATCCCCAGACTCTCAGATTGTTACCTCTGGGGCTGGGGAGAAGCCAGGATTGGTTCCTCACCTGATTGCCATGGTTACCTGTTCCCCCAAGGACCTCCTCCCCATCTCATCCCCTCCACCAGGAAGACTCAGGGCCCTACAACTGACACCCAATTCCTCCCCAGCTGCAACTGGCTGGTGTGTTGTGAGAAGCAGAAGGAAATGGGGTGATAGGTGGCTGGACCGTCAGCATCATCACTTTAAGAAAGAGGCGGGGAGCCCTGGCCGGTTTGGCTCGGTGGATAGAGCATCGGCCTGCAGACTGAAGGGTCCCAGGTTCGATTCCGGTCAAGGTTTCGGGTTGTGGGCTCGATCCCCAGTGTGGGGCTTGCAGGAAGCAGCCGATCAGTGATTCTCTCTCATCATTGATGTTTCTATCTCCCTCTCCCTTCCTCTCTGAAATCAATAAAAATACATCAAAAAAAAAAAAAAAGGAAAAAAGAAAGAGGCTGGGAGATGAGAATAGCCCAAGGGGAACAGAGAAGGAGAGACAAATCCAAGAAGCAGAAAAGGGAAGCCAAGGGCCACTAGGAAGTGGCCTGTGTGGAGTTCCGGGGGCTCTAACAGGTCAGCCCCAACCATATCCCCACAGTGGGCCCGAGTGCCATCACCCACCTCCAATGCCTTCCCCCAACTGGGGCCAAGTCCCTCAGTGTCTCCTGTCCCCAAACCACTGACTCTACAAGGGCACAACCGCTGGGCGGCCCATGCTTCTGGCCTGGGAGCCCCTGCAGCCCCTGGTCTCGGCTATAGAGGCAGGAAAGGAGATTGACCAGCACCCAATTCCCACTCCTTGCCTCTCAAGCCTGGCATTTGTCTTTCCTCGTCCTCAAAGTCCCCTACTGATAAAGACCACCCTGCATCTCTTTGTTTTAACCAAGCTCTTTCCAGAAGCTCCCCCAAGACTTAGGCCTCTTTTGCCACCAGTTCCTTTCACGCTCCCCTGCAGAAACAGCCAATCCCGGACAACCCAGAACCCCTCTGCTCCCCTGGATGCACAGGTGCAGCGTTCTTTTCCTCCAAATGAAAGTAGCCCGACTCCCTCACTAGGAAACCCCCAGGTCTGGGGAAAAGTCACTCAAGGTCACACATCCAGACGTCTAGACTGGCAGAGGGAGAGGGAGTCTTAGAAAGCATCTGTCCATCATCTCATTTTACAGATGAAGAAACTCAGAAAGCAGTGGCTTGCCTAAGGTTACACAGCAACACAGTGGCAGTCCTAGGAATAGACTGGCTCCCAGTCCAGTGCTCCTTACACACTGGCACCTCGGCCAATAAGCCTGGCCTTCCTCCACCCAGGAAGGGCGATGTAGGACGCCCCGTTCCCTGGAAGACAGACCACTCGGTGAGCCTCCTGGGACGGGTCTCATCTGGCCAAAGATGACAATCAGCACACATTCTCACCTTGAAGTACGAAGACGGAGCAGAGCCCTCATCCCCCTTCCATGGTGCAGATGGGGAAACTGAGGCTGTCCAGAAGCACAGCGAACCAGGGTGCACTGTCAAGGCTCAGACCCCAGGATACAGGAGTCCTTTCCTCTCCCAACAGTGTAGGTGCAACTGTGTGAGCCCCATGGATGTGGGAGGCACGTGGGCAGTCCACCTGGGAGCACGGTCAACCCCTCGATCTTCCCTGGATGAGGATCTACTCCCCGACAAGAGCACTAAAAAAAAGCCTTCTAGCCTCCCGGCGCTGGGCTCACTCCATCCTCCCTCCCTTCCCCACCTCCTAGCTTCCGAAGATCAAACAAAGACAAAAACCCAAAATATACACACACAGCCAGACACACCTCCTCCATCTCCCTCACACTCACTACACACAAGGCCAGAGACACAGCACGTGCGCGCGCTCACACACACACACACACAGCCAGATAGATACTTGGCCAGACACACGCACAGACACGCCCCATCACACAGGGCCAGACCAGAGCCCGGCCCACACTGGCCAGATGCATACAGCCACCTCCACCCCCATCCAGGAGCACACAGTCTGACAGCCATCCCGGCTGAAACCAGAGCTGCAAACACACACTAGCCTTTTGTGCATCCCTGGCCCACCCAGTGTAAATTATAACACAGGTCTCCTGGCAACAAAGACAGTGCGGCTCCTCACCTCCACTCTGGGGGCCAGAGCCTGGAAGAGTGGGGTGGGCATCTGACCTGCACGAAGATATAACCTCTTCCTGGTCAGATTGTCTCCATTCCCATGGCAACAGCTCCATCCACCAACATCTCTCTGGCAAGGCCAGGGCAGCAGAGAGCCCCCTCCCTTCCTGCGCCCCCACCCCCACCCCCAGGACTTCAACTTGAACCCCAAGCTACACAGTGTCTGGATGCTAAGTCCCAGGTCTGTTCCCTGCCTCATTCCAAAGACGGCTCTAAGAACGAACGCAACCCCAACTCCAAAGGAGGGAACCCCTGGGAAAACCTCACCAACAGAGCCGGCTTTATGCTTCTTTCCCAAGTGCTAACACCTTGGAACAGAGAGGAAGGGGGAGGAAGGAGAGAAAGAGTTTCAGGAACAGATGCAAACTGCAAGAGGCCCAGAGAGGGAGGCATCAGAATGAAGTGGGAGGCGACCAAGGGACGCCCCCTCCCCTCCCCCCTACAGGAAGCCCTGGAGAGACTGAGGCAACAGGGGTGAGGGTGGGGGATTAAGGGGTAACTCTTGAGAGACAAAGACCGGGGGCACTTCCACAATATTTACAGGCACATTCACCACCCCGGCCTCTTCCAGCCATCCGGAGCGATTCTGGGCAGAGGGGGGCCTGGGGGAGGGGGGAGGCATGCCTGGGCCCAACGCGAAGACAGGAAGGACAGGGGTGTCTACTCGCCCAGGCCCCCCCACACCCACCCCCCGCACCCAGCTAGCAGCAGGAGGGCCTGGGGAAGGAAGGGGCAGTCGGTCAGACCCCTCCCGCCTCCGCTGGCGATAGGAAAGGCCGCGATCAACCTTCCCCGGAATTTCCATTCTACCCGCTCCGCCCCGGCTGCCCCCGGGAGGACAGAGACCCCAGTGGCCGGGGGGCCGCTCGCGTCCTCCCTGGAGCCAAACTTTCCGCGGGGCCCCGCTTAGGGGGCTGGGCGGGGGCGGGGCGCCCAGTCCAGGGATTGGGGGGGAAAGGGACCGGC